TAAGCTACTTTGTTCGCTGAATCGTTTAATTCATTCGTCAGCTATGTAAGTAGACTAAAGAGATTGATTTGAGAAGTTTATTGTTTTAATTTTGCAGTGTTTCCATTGATTTTGAAATTAAATTTAAAAAGCGCGCGTGAGTTTCGATATTTATTGTAATTTTAACAGCTATACTGATGATATTAAAAGGATTTGCCTTTAAATTAAATTCTAAATTAGATGAGTGTATATAAAAACTCGTGCATACAGTATACTTTGCTTTTCTCTTACAAACTACAATACTTTTTATTGCAAATAATGTGGATTACTTATTTATTTTTATTAACAAAGTATCATAGTGCCAGGTGCTATCAGCATTTCACGATTGAGTGCCCCTATTAAGTAAACAAAATTGGATTATACTATCGTATAACGTGCAAATTATTCACCCTTCCGATTATTCTATTATGCTACCGATCATTGTGGTATCTTTTATCTGTCTAAGGGTTGGTTCTACCCTCGCGTGTCCACCGTAGAAAATCATGCGAAACTAGCACACACCCTATCTACCCCCCCCCCCCCCGCCCCCAGTGGACATGTGTCTGTCACATATGGACAACACGTGCGCATGATATCGATCATATCCGCATAGAATTTTCGGTCAAACGAACTATTGTCTGTCTTTTTTGTCCCTGTTCTATTTCCGAATATATTACAAAAGAATCAATATCGCGCGTCTCTGTAACTTACATGTGTTAGCACAATTGATTGGAACTATATTTTATGTATATAAAAACGTTGAAACGCTTTATATATGTGACAATACACCCTCGGAGAGGATTTCTGTTGCCGAGACAAAAAATATTCTCGGCGCATTTATATTTCTCACAGTCTTATTTAGTATAAAAATAAGGCAATATCAAAATAAAGTCAATAATTCTTATTCCCCTCTGTCGAATTAAAAAAGATTGACTCGCTATATTGAGGCAAGAGTAACTTAATATATTCTTGCGTTTAGAATAAACTTTCCCTCCGTCTTACAACGCACAAAGTTGGCACCACGATATTCAAAGACGATACACACTATCATTTTATTCTAGATTTGAGAATTTTTCATTTAAGATTAAAATATTCCTTTCCCTATATAACAAATGTAATTGGCGCTATATCGATCCTATTTTCTGATACATCGAAATGTAATAGCATTGGATCTGGAAATTTTTTTCTGTGGGTGCAGTGATACCGTTTAAGGGTAAATGATTAAATCAACATTTGAGAAAAAGAAATTTAGAATTTCTTTAGGTTTCTCTCTTTCGATGATCGCATCTGAAAGTTATAATCTCTTCGAATACGTACCTCCGTGCACCTCGAGGAAGTTTTCCCGCGTAAAATCTCCCTGCATCTTCTTATGAATGAAATAGTTTTGTCCACTGTTTCTTCGAACTTATGCTAAGTGCCTGGCCAGATCTTTTGCGTTAGACTTTGGAATTCTTGAAACATTTTCAGATCGCTAAATTTAATGAAATTTTAAAGAAATAATAAAAATAATTTTATAATTAATGAATTTAAGTATTTAAATTGTGTTAGTATTTTAATTGATGATACGAGGAAAGAATTTTTAAAGAAGATTAGATGAATTTAAAGAGTTTTTTGCGGTAATTTTTTTTTCTTTGTAGCTTTAGTATATTTGAAAAGAATAAACGAAATTTAAGGTTTCTATACTATTCTTAAAATTATTTGCTTAAGACTAAGATGAAGGGGAAGATTGATTAAAAGGTATATCTGCTTATGAGTAACATTTATTTCAAACAAACATAGTGGAAGACAAATAGGAAAGTGTCAGCGATGCTTGCTGACGTTAAAGCCGTTATCACAATCTTGAAATAACACTCTATAAATTTGTATACATATAATAGGTACAAATATCACAAACGCGACAAATGTATCGCCGTAATGTAAAAAAGAAAATAAAATATGGCGCGCCTCTCTTTCTCTTTGATGTATTAATTTTACATCTGCAAGAAACGCTCCTCTCGATCAGTCAATCGTGAATGAATTAAAATCTACATAATATAATCTAACGATCACAGTTTCGAAATGTCTGTCTAAGCTGTCGCCCCGCAATTCGATTGACAGCTTGGGTCCTCGACCTTGAGGACACGCTTCCGCGGGGGGGAAGTTGTGCGAATCTCGAGTAATCGGCTCGGGTGATCCGCCTTTGAGGTAGATGATGTCGTTCTGGATGACGACACCTCACGCCACTTGCACCTCGGGAAGCTGGTACTGCGAGAAGGCGCGCTCCTTGTAGCACAGGTCCCGGTCGGCCATGCTGAGGGTCGTCCAGTAGAAGTCGCCGGCATGAGTGTGGGCGAAGTGCACCGGCACGTAGCACTGACCAGGCACAACCGGCACGACGGTCATCTGTCCGTCCAGGCAGACGGTGATGGCGGCTCCCTCTTCGGCGTCCCGTAGCTCCTGCAGGAGCCTACGCTCCAGCGCCTCGTTGGCGTTGTTCTGATTCTCGATCTCCTCGGTGAAGATCCCCACCTGAGGCACGGCCTCCTGACGCTTGTTGCTCTTGACGTAACTGCTGGTGCGCTTCTTCAGCATTCGCAGCAGCGGCTTCAGCGGCTTCAGCATGCGTCTGCTCTTGCGGCTGCTCATGGCCTTGTCTTCCGACATCTTCAGGTTGTAGAGATTGTCGTTGAGCTCGTTCTCGAACACGTCGTTGAGCTCCAAGTCAAACAGCGTGTGGTCGCTCATGGTGGTGGTAGCGGCCATCTTTCTTCTCTCTCTTTCTCTCTTTCTCGCTATCTCTTTCCCTCTCTCTCTTTCTCTCTCCCCCTCTCTCTCTCTTTCTGTTCTCCTTCGGACCACGGTACACTGAACTTTCTTCCGAACTGTCGGAACTCGGAACACGTGGCACGAACTGTCGTTCGATAGGAACTTGGCGGGAGAACTTGAAAGCGGAGGATATGTGCTTTCGGGCAAGTCGCTTTGGAGCGAGAGGCTAGTGAGCGAATGGTACCTTAGTACGAGCAACCCCGTCCTTATATAGCCCCGCCGAGGCTGCACGGGGTAACAGAGTGGGGAAGGCAGGTGCACTCTGGCTGTGGGAACACGACGAATTCGGTGCTTCCCACGTCGAGGTCCACGCCGACCATCTGCCGGTGTTCTCCCTCCTCCGCCTTCGCCGCCCGATCGCCCACCACCTATCTCTCGGTCCTTGCGGCACCCTGCTCGCAGGGGCCCCCTTCGTGATACACATACACGTGCGCGCACACCCCCGTGATCACCCCCGTCCGACCTTCTACGTAGTGGATCCTCGCCTTTCCGCGTGACTCCGATTTCTTAGGCTTTCTAGAGGGGTCTCTTTCTCTAGGATAGAGTCCGGATTTCCAGCGTGAAGGGGGTGGTGTTGCTCCTCGAGACTGGTTCGATCCTGTTGTAACACGTTCGCGCGCGTCACGCGAGCTTGCGTGAGGTGAGACGGATTTTGTCGTCGGCTTTACACTGAATACAGAATAACCAACTTGTTGCGCCTCGCTGTTAGCATAGGAATTGGCTCGAGGATGATAAGTTGACCGCGTGTACACGACATCGGCGATAATAGAGATAATGGTATGAACGAAGAAAGCTCGATGTTTAATTACGGACTTTGTCGACTGTGGGATTCACGAAACGTTTATTACATCAACTCATGTAAAGTACAATCGATTGTGTATTCAATTTCGGCACGCGAAGTAGCGTGACTCGAGATGCAATGCAATGCAGAACTTCTACACCTTACACATGCGCGATTCTTGGGGTGAGGAAAGGTAGTTCTATAAAATTTTATACACCAAAATTTGAATGAAAATTATTGCCAAGTTTTATTATATAAAAGTTCAATTGGACACGTGCAAATATTTTAATTATTTTTTATCAACGTTTTTCACATCATCTCTAAAGTTCTCGTGAAACTACAATTACAGTCATCAAATATTATATAAACATTGATTTATTATTCAAATTTTATTAGAACCATTTTATCGAATATATTTTTTAATTGCGGTATTTATTAATTTTGTACGAGTAATTGTTGGATCGGTGATCCCTTCGGTCTAAAAAGAGCAATTCCAGCTACGATCGTTGCTGAGAATTTTTAAGCCAAAGGGTTAGCGTACAGCTAGCTGGTAAGTTATAGTAATTAACGTGCGGTAATAACGTACCCCGGCTTCCTTCATTACCCCAGTGCGCACGAGAGATTTAGAGCCGAGAAGCGTCTAGACGCCTCGTGATAGGTGCGGTGTAACCCCCGCTATTAAATACACCCTCCTCCCCTCCGACCGGATTTTTTGTTATCTCGGAACTCGGCCCCCTGTCTTCATGACACGATCACGGCGCGTCCATTAGCTGTACCGTCATAAAAAAGTCTGAAAGTTTTGTGAGAAGGTGAACTTTTTCTCCTTCACCTCTCTCGCACCCTACGAATTGCCGAGCTTTTTTTTGCGGGGTGGGACTTTTTTTCACAACCTGTTTCACGATGCGAGCGTCAGGTGAATAGTAATGGGTACGTTAGCGCCACGTAGATAAATCTATAAGCGCGTACAGTTAATAAATGTGTATCGGAAGGATTCTCGATTGTCTCCTCGTGCAGGTGCAAATAATTAATACTTAGTCTACAGACAGGGACAGGGGGAGGGAAAAAATTCACTTGTGCCAATTTAAAATCACCGGCGGTTTAGGGGCGGTTTCGGCGATGCACCTGAACAGCAGTGGAAATCCACCGAGGGTGAAAATCGAGTTGCGGAGGGGTCTTGTCGAGCTGGGCAGGCACACACCATGGCCATATGCCGTAGGCAAACTTTGTCCCCTCGGAGGACAGGTACACTCGGGTATTATTTGTTTTCGCTTGCATTTCAGAAATGTGGCTTGAGGCAGGTGAACCGAGACTGAGGCTGCAAGGGTTACTTTCCTTACTTTTGTTTTTGAATATCATTTTTCGATCTTGAAATTTTCTCAAACTGTTTCATCGAAGATTTGTTTTTACATAAATATCTCTCCGTTATTTCTGTAGTCTCATTAATTTTCTATCAACCGATAGTGTTTTTCTGCAAGCTTAGTATCAATATGCGGATTGTAATTTATGTTTATTGATATAAATTTGATATAAAGATGCTCGTGCGTTTACATATTATGTATATTATATCGATTAGTCTTTACATATATAATTTCCAATTCTGATTCGAGTTTATCTCCAATTTTAAATGCTCGGAAAGTTCATCGAATATTTGATATCATATTATTAACTTAACGGGCGTTTCACCTTTATTTTTAACTCGAGCGAGCCCGCGATTTCTGCCTCGTTGCACATTTAGCCGAAAAATCATCGACCTTTCGCACGAATGGCGAATTTACAAGCGTCATGGATAATTAAGCATATCGATCAACAAGTTTCACCCACGTGGTAGCCAAGTCAATGGAGTGTGTCGCGTGTAAGGTATCGCGCAAACATAAATTCGCCGAAGCGCTCAAGCCTCGCTTATTTCCGGTCACATGGAATTAACATAGGTGACCAGGTAGCATGAAACAATATATTCGCAGATAATTGTCGCGTTTGCCGATCTACTGAATCTAACGGATTTAATCGCGGCAGCGAGTCCAGCCCGAGCGTCCCTCTAACTCGTAGGCAGCTCTCTAATGAAAATTGAGGAAACGGATAATTCCGCGCGTTTCCTGTTAACCGTGGATTTAAACCGGTTTGCCAGCAGATCCGCGGACGTTCTGTTCTAACAGTCCCCGGGGACCGCCCGTCTCACTCCCCGCCGCTCACCACGCGTTGGTAAGAGGCGATCGTTCTCATCTCGCAGGATCCTCACGCCGCCGGATCGGATAGATCTTACAACCGGTTCTTAATACGACCGTCAAATTTTAATTAATTCGAGACCGTTCGCGCGGTGTCCTGATTTAAAGCCGCGCCCACGTGTTTTCGTGCGGGCGCGCACGTCGTCCCGGAGGCGTCTTACGTGGAATTAATAATTCATGATCGTTTTGCTCATTCGCTATATGGCGGCAACAGCGATTTGGAAACGTTTCATTGGATCTTAGCAGTCGCACCGTGTATCCCTCCGGAGATTTATACTCGTTTTACGGCGTCGATAATGACGTATCGCCCAAGCGAAACGTAAGGTCACAGGCGCGTGCGACATGACAAATTTCAAAGATACGTTTTGCGATGCCCCTTCAGCAGAACGTAACGCTCCAGGCCAATTAGCGACACAAACTCCTCGTTTAGGCGTTAATGTATTTCGACTTTACGATTTCGAAATTGTTTTTAACTCGATACATTAGCGACAGTTTTCACGTTGGAGAATGTCAAGATGTAAATATTCTATCGATCTTCTCCAACGTCATTTTACTATGTATTGTAAAGTTTCTTGAAATTAATTTCGTGTCACTGCTTTCCAACTCTTACTTAAGCGAGAAATCACTCTTGATTATAAAGATAGCCGTGCATTTTTCAACTTAGTAATATTATATTTATGAGTTTAATCAGAATTTGTTTGCATCGAGACAGCTGAAGTTAGAGAAAAATGTTATTTTCGCTGAGAAACACAGCACCCGACGCCATTATCACGCTCGCAAATTATACGCGCCGCTTCGAGTCTCGCAAAAACAGCGCGTCATATTCCTATATTTATTCCGCGCCTCCCGACGAGGGTATTAGATTATGCAAATCGCATGCGGAACGAGTGTCGCGGGTCCCATCAGATAAAACGTTATTCTATAGGTGGAGCGTGCGATCCCCTTCACGTTCGGCCGTGGCAAACATTAGAGGTGAGCGATATGACACGATCTTGATTAAAACGCTACCCCTGGCATTCTGCCACGCGATAATATCGCTTATCGCGTCATTAACCGACGAGAAAAGGGATTCGCGAACGCTTGAATAATCGGACTGAACGTGCGTCGCGGAATGCGTCTAAAGGATGGCTCGAGGATGCACGCGTGCGTTTCTTTTATTTATTTTTCGCAGCGTCCTACAAGGATCCTTTTACGATTCCGTAAAGCGCCATCGCACGTATCGGTGAATATCGGACGTTATACAATCTGACATTATTTTACCGATCTGGAAACGGGATACCTGCGAGAATTAACGAGATATAAATTACTTGCTTTGATTTGGGGATCTACCCTATTTTTATGCAGGTAAAAGAAAAGATTAAAAGCAACGCATTATAAGCAAATTTCCGCAGTCTTCACTCCAATAAATACCATGTGATTACGTAACATAACCACTCGTCAAAGGAGTTGCAGCCATTCTCGGAAAGATTGCGATCATGGAAATGCTCGTGAAGCGCCCGAGAACGCGATTCCACATTTTCATTAGCATATAATTAATATATGAGCAATGACCGCGGCATTCTTTGCGCTCACGCATCAAGTCCGACTTGCGCACGCACGTTCGACGATGCAACGGGTAGATGCGAGAAAGGAGGGCCCAAGCGTGGCTGAAGGGAAAAGGGAAGGCGAAGAAACGAGCAGGCCAACCTAAAACAGTAGTAGTGACCCCCGGGGCTGAGCAGGCCCAAACAAGAAGTCCCTTCTGACGTCACCGGCAGGTGCAAGCAGAAGTGCATCCTCGTCCGCCGCGCTCCTCTCGCTCTCGCTCCCTTTCTCCGCTTTCCGCCTTCCTCTGCTTCTTTTTCTGCTTCCTCCTCGCGCACTCGCGTGTAATCGTGCCGATTTCGAGATCGAGATAACTCGGCCTGTGCACGGCGCCCACCGTGAATCCGGTTGGTTTCTGTTGAAAATTTCTGACGTACGTTACTCGGCCGCGGTCGCTCCGCTCGCTCTCTCGCGGACTTTAATAAATGGTTTCCTTTGCGGCTTATTGAGTCGGTTGTGGATAAATTGGCGAGATGATTGCAGGGGCGAAACAAAGGATACGCAATATCGAGATATCCGTATTTCGTAATGCGCAAAACTGTCCAGGATAGAGACACCCGACGCTGGATGCTCTCTCTCATACATTCTGTAGCTTTGAAGAGTATTTTGCAGCAGGGACATTTTATCATCGATATCATTTAATTTTTTAATCAACTTAAAATTTTTTAGAATAAACTGACTCGACAAAATTTCATTTCGTTTCTTTTTGTATCATGCAACATGATTTACATAAAATTAATTGAGAAGTACAATAATATATCACTGTCTGTGTATAAAACTTTCTAATCTTTTTGGCAGGTAATTCGATATTATTCGAACTCGAATTAGTTTGAATTTAATGTCGTTGTGGAGGGTAATAAAAAAATATATCCCCCCCCCACCCCCGGAAACGCTTTGTGCCGTCGAGATTTAAAGGCCATCCGAAAACTCGATCCTAATCTACCCTTAGCGATGGTGCGTCTAATCGAAAGGCGATATGATTCCCCTGATGAAACACCCTAAGAGCGGTAATAAAATATCCCACCGAGAACATTCCACGGATTTTAATGCCCGATAGCATCGTTTGTAAGTGGAACGACGAAATCCGTACGAGCTGCCGCGCCGGTGCCAAGATAGGCTGCGTCCCGCTTCACTTCTCGAGGCGAAGGTAACTGCATCCGTGGCTGATGCAGCGAGTTATCTCGATCTTAAAATCGGTACCATTACGCGTGAGCGCGCGCGAGAAAAGAGAGAAGGCCGCGTTGATTCTCTTACGCGCATTCCTCAAGTTGATTCGCCCGATGCAAATTGCACGATGCAGTACGCAACGATAATTATCGCGTAACATTTGCACTTTGCTTTCCATCTGACTTGATTTTGTATACCGTACCTGGGTTAAGTGTGATCTTCGGAACCTTTGTCGGGTAATCATATTTAACGTTATATAATATGTATAATATGATTAGAGGCTGTACGGTTTTATTAGCTATCGAACAATCGTACACCCACAGAAAATATTTTTGGATCCAACGCTATTACACTTCAATGTATCGTAAAATAGGATCGATATAGTGCCAGCCATATTTATTATAGGGAAAGGAATATTTTAATCTTAAATGAAAAATTCCAAAATTCTAAAATAAAATGATAGTATACATCGTCTTTTGTGGAATATCGCGGTGCCAACTTGGTGCGTTGTAAGATGGAGGGAAAATTTATTCTAAACGCAAGAATACTTACATTTATATAAGTTACTCTTGTCTCAATATAGTAAGTAAATCTTTTTTAATTCAATAGAGGAGAATAAGAATTGTTGATTTTATTTCGATATCGTCTTATGTTTATACTAAATGAGGTTGTGAGAAATATAAATGCGTCAAGAATACTTTTGTCTCGGTAACAGAAATCCTTTCTGAGGGTGTAAAGCCTTTCTTGTTCCTCTCGTGTGGATCGCAGTCTTCTTGGCACTTCCTTTTTAATCGTCAGTCGATATCTTTATTTATTAATTGATAGGAAAAAAATCAAAAGGATAAAAAAAGGATAAAAAAGCGACAAAGATACAGCAAAGAGAAGATGTTATTAAAGAACGAGGAGACCTCGTGTTTATACCCAAGGCGAAAAATAGTCCAATTCTTCTTCTCTTCTTCCCCCTCTTCTCTCTACCGTATACAGCTTTTATCCTATGTCTCTATTTTTGTCTTTATTTTTTGCCTAGAATGGTAATCGTTTTAGGCAGATAGATGCCATTCTCAGACAGAGATCTTGCTTGGAATTTTATTTCTCGTCTCGCGCAAACAAATCCGAATTTAACGCGTGCAAGGAATTTGTAAACAATACTATTCTCCTTTTTTCTTGAAAATAATTCGTACAAATCATTCCATACGAATGACTCGTCACGGATTCTTATTATTTCTAACATTAACGTGATACTTAAATGAAAACTTCATAATCGCAATACATTATATCTGAATCGTGTAATATTTTTAGTCTACCATTTTATAATTGTGTTAAATATGTAAGTAAAACTTTTCTATATTTATTACTTAACGAATGCAGTAATAAAACAATGTAACTAAATCTATACAGAGAGAAAGAGAGATAAAGAAAACATATGACATATTTTTGAAAGGGACTGTACGTAATTAGGGATGTATTAAAGTCGTATAAAATTTATTTATTATTTGATTGCACTTGTTACCTCAAATGATCGCATCAGCCTAGCGGGTGCTGTTTGCCACTTCGCGGCGAACAGAGTGAATTTATAGTAGGCCGACATTATTACACTTTTTCGGTGCTTATTAAATATTTTTTAGGGGGTGTCGGTCGCGGGTCGATACAAATTTCGGTTATTAAGGCGGCACCATGTGTAATCGAGTCGAATTACCGAGGGACGCCCGGCGGTTTCTAACGAGCTTTTTTTTTTACCGCTCGTAATTCGTAAAGCTCGGCGTGTCTTCGACGAAACGTTTGATGATCGCGTTGAAGTGCGCCCGCGATTTATAATTTGCCGCGTTTTCCTTCGTTTTGTATCCGGCCGCGGCCGCGCGTTGGCCGGCCGGGACGCGTTTTATCACCCATGCAATAAAACGCACTGTTATTTCGTGAATTAACGTTTCTCTAATTTTTGCCGCAGGTGAAGCAGCAACGCGGGACGACTGAAGCGGATCGACGAGTTCCGGGTGGCGGTATTGGTGAGTCCATGTACATATTTTTACGCAAGCCTTGCGCCAAGCACGTTGCGCTATTTTACATTTAATGTTACTCTACTCAAACCGTACATACTTATCTTATTAATTATTTTATGCGTTCGTTGTTATATTCTGCATTAATGCATTTTCACACGCAAAACTGAAAAACGCTTTAATTTAGCGCTAAAATATACGCGACAACGATCATCCGCGAATTGTTAATTAATTTTTCGCAGTGAACATTGAAACCTGCGCGACAAAATGAAAGATGTCGTTCAGTATTTCGCCGTTTTCTTACGTTCGAGCGATCCATCCTTCGCGGATAAATTCTTTATGCGTCTCAACTCGCTCGTCCATCCGTCAGAGAACCACGCGGAATCCTTTGTCCCCTCGGACCGGTCCATGGAATTTCCGTGGACGGAATAAAAAGGGCTGGACCATAAAGCCGCGATCCCTTTCGATCCCATTGAAACGTTGAAGCGGTACTGGGTGGGGTTAAGGGTGGCCACGGGGGTGAATGCAATATTATTCAAAATCACGAAAAATCTCCGTTCGTATTTCGTTATTTTCGGGTTCCATTGGGGATCGTAGATGCATATCTTACACAGCGCGTTGAATAGGCCACCGTACGGGGTAAGCACCGGCCGGTGTTTGTTCGTCATTTCTCCCCTTCGTCCCCGTCCCGCGCCACAACGAGAGCCGAGAGATGCGAGTGATCCAGGTAAAAAGGGTCAAACGCACGCACAAAGGGCGCCCTCGCGCGACCGAGCACATGTGCGCGCAGGCACGCAATCATAAAAGCGACACTTCGATCTTGCGCCTAGAGCGAATCGAACGTATTGAAAGAGAATTCAAGACGTTTCAAGGGTTGATTCGTCGTCGTCATCGGCCGTCGCCGACTCGCCTCTCGCCGGGAAAACTTGTCGCGCGCACCACCGACTGTACGGCGCGCGCATATGCAACGCGGTTTCCGCAGCTGCCGTTGCGCAGCCCTTTCTCTACATTTTCACAAAGCACACCAGGTGTGCGATTGAAATTGCCAGCATCGTAGATTTACGCCGGAAACGGAAAAATTAGTCCGCGAACAACTAATTGTCTTAGTTATTGCACTTGTCGCTAACATCCTGAACTTTGACTCGGAGATCTTTTATCCCGCGACTCAACCCTTTCACAGGTGCATCCCGTCGGAGGGGAAACCCTTTTCCGTATTGTTCGCAGGTTTCCGCTAACCCTTTCGGTGCTTCGCAGGTAAAAGGGTTGGGACTTTGGGTTAACGGCTCGAAGGGTTGTGCAGAAGATGTCGGATTAACGGTGCGGTAGGACGAAATTATTCGGGGTGAACTATTTACCCGACATTGCGTACAATACTTTTCGTTGGTGTAATTTGACATTTTTCTCAAATCTTCTTGGCTGAAAAATTAAAAAGTAATCTATGACATACTTTTAAAATATAGATATAGATATATAGATTTATATTTTTAAGAACTCTATCAAACTATCGCCGCTATTTGATCTGGGAAAAATTCAGAGTGCTTTGCGATATTTCTCAAAGCATATGTATATATTTCTTTTTCAAGTCATGAAATATATTTATATCGATTTACTATTAAACTATCTTCATCAATAACAGTAAAAGTTTGAATGTGGATTGCATCACGCTTTCAATCGCTTCCGGTCTTCTTCGACAATTTACATTTCGAAGATAATTGTACGTGATGAAACGTCGAGAAATAATCTTTTAGGAATCGCGAAAGAATTGTGCAATTTTAGAAAAAAATAAAACGAGATCGAATAAAATCTCGAAGAAAGACTCTTTTTGAAGATCCTCGCAAGTTCGAACAGATCCGTTTCGCCATTCTGCACAAAGGCGGAATGATTTCTGCTCAAGAAGAAAAGATTTCTTTTTGTGTAACGCGTTACGTGAACTCGAAATGCTTGCAGCAGATTCCGTGCGTCGGATCCTCCGGTGCAGGTTCAAACCTGCACAGAGCATTCAGGGCACACTCGCTTTGATCGAGTTTCTTCACGGGCAAGCGGCAAACGAGACGAGTTCGAACTTGCTCGATCTTCCATACAGATCAGTATTTGGTCCTCGTTTCGAAGTCTTGCGTAAAGGAGGATGCCGGATGCGAGGACCTGCCGCGACGCTTGAAAAGCGAATCGAACGTGGGTGAGTGCATTCTCGGGGGGTTGTGAGAAAGTCTGTTTAAAAGGGCGCATTCTAACTCTCTCGCGTGATGCCACGACACGTAGTTTTCAATGGCGAATTTCATCATCTCAGATACGCCATAGAAAGGGGAAGGATTCGTATGGTTGCGAGCAACTGTGTCCGCGACGCATAAATTTTACTTCGGGACATCCTCGAAATTTTCACTCGTTGCTTTTGTACAATGCTAAGAACCGGTCGATGCAAATCTTCATCAACATACCCCTTAGACTTGCAGAAAGGAAACCTTGCTTCTAAGGATTGAATTTTCCTCGCGTTTTTATCGTACACTGTTACGTATAAGATATAATATTTTACTTACGTAAAATAGTTTAATTGTGCATTTGTAAAAAGTAGTAAGACTACGCGAGTCACATTTTCTTGGACTTTAGATTTCAAGTCCTTCGGAACGTTAACTTAATCAAGACGTCAACGCGTTTATGATGAGCTTGATAGTCTCTAAGATCAATATGAAAATCCTAATATCAACATCAAACATTACTCGGTACACCCAGTTCGAGAGTCTCGACAAACTTCTTGGAGGACTGCGCGGGGTGATATTCCTTCCTTCCGTATCGAACCTTAGGATCGAAAAGATTTTCCAAAGTCTTGCGCGTCGAGCTCGGAAAGATCCGTTTCCATTTACGAGTCACCATTATGTCCCTAAATAAACAGCTGTTCCCCGTAAAGTCCTGCACCTATGTAAACACAAGATCCTGACGAAACTGCCGCATGCTCGATCGATTTGTGTGATTCACCCGACCGGGGGTGAAGGAGAAGAAAAAATTTTCGAGCGGAGGGAGAGTTTTGAAAGGAGAGTGTGTCGGAAGGAGAGGGTCGCATTGAAGATCGCAGGACCGTGAATCTGCCTTCGGGGCACGGATCCATTCTTAAAGGATTATCATTATAAATTATACATTTCCCTTCTTCCCTTTCTGTGCCGCCCTCCTACACTGCCGCCGGATGACCGGTAGCAGCTTAAGGATTTCTATCACTGGATTAGCGTGGACCGTGTCATCGTGGTATCCTGTCTATTCGATTCGTCTTCCTTCGGGAGAAGAGATGCTCGTGGATTCTTTTTCGTTTCGCGTTTTACGATCCCCCTTTTTTTGGACGCTGCATCCCGTTCGGATGCGAGTAACATTCGGTCCTGTCGAGTGCGTTTTATTTCTGGGAGGTCGGACGCGGATGTAGCGATATCGCAGATGCGCAAGACTTGTAAGTCCGTCATATTCGTTAAGTATAAAAAGATACTAAACAGATTCTGAAACAATGCATGAAAAAGAAGACGATAAACGGTATACTTTGTGTGAAAAGTATCGTGCAGCAAATATTCTTATATAAATATACATATAATTTTGTAACAGCTAATAATGTTAGATACCAGTTCTCACTATTAATATGCAATATACATATAATTACCATTAGAAGCATAATAATGATTTACAAAAATTACTCTCTGTCTCCAAGTGTTATTGGTTTTATAATTTAAGATATCTAGAAATAATGTAATATTACATGTCGCATTTAAAATTATTTAATTCTAAAAATTGAAAGAAAAAAAAAGAGAGAATCTTAATAATTTTAGCTTATTGATGAAACGCGATAAAATTTGATTATTTTTACAATTACAATTTTCCTGGGTAATTTGCACGCGATACAAGACGGCGCTATATCTCGTCTATTGTGAAATTTATCACGCTTCTATTAAGTATCGGCGCCTCACGAAACGCTCAACGCTGATTCATTCGTCGACATGATGACGTTCTTCTGGGTCGCCGCGCCGTCTGGGCTCGCCCCGAATCGCCAAAGTACGATAACAATTATTCGAAAATGCCCGTTCGAATGTCAAAGGTGACAATGACTTTTCGCGAAGATGAGACGACGGCCATCGCCGACGGCCTTCCCTTCGTCTTTGTGCCCACCGAGTCTTTTTTTACGTACACGTGGAGGAGCAGTTTGATGGGTCTCTTTGGCTGGGGCCTTTTCTCGCGCGCGAAGGGTCCTGTGGGCGGAGCGGTTGGCCGAGAAAGGACCTCATTCGAGTCCGGCGGTGAGGATTCTCTAGGATCCTGACCAGTGGGATAAGGAATGAGCTTTCAAAGGGGCTGAAATTGAACACGTGCAAGGGTGAGCCAGAGAAGGAGAAAGCGAAAAGGAACGTAGAAAAAGAAAGAGAGAAGAGCAAGAGTCTTGTGGGTCCTTCGAAGATTTCTGAGTCAGATAACGTTATTCATCCAGGGCTGCAGTCTTATCTTTTCTATAAATTCCATTATGACTATCTCGTAATTGTCCGAAATTCATTGTTTAAAGTATTATTTGTGTTTCAATATTTAATTTAATATAATCTCTTTTAACGCCCAAATAAATGTGCGAATATCTGCGGCACATTTTATGAGAATAACTTATGAAAATTCATAAGTTATTATATTTAAATTATTATATTTTTATAAATTTTAAATTAGAAGATTGAAATAGCTAATTTATTATTATTCTATACATTTGTTTTAAAGGTAATTTGTTTTATAATATTATTTTACACAGTTCGGACAATCTACCGACTGTTTTGTCCTTACGTAAAATTTAACAAACATTGCTAAAATTATGGACTCGTGAATGCGAACAAATTGAGACAAATTGACAACTTGCGCTTCTTTACAAAGGATCCTTGTGAAATAGTTAATATAAATATACGTGATTCCGTGGTTTCCATTTCTAGAGAAAAATTAAGCGACGGTTTCCCGTTCGGAAATGTCCGATTTCACAAATGAGTTTCTTGAAATTGCTTCTCAGGATC